ATAAGCCAGAGGCATGGGGTTTTGGGGTGAGAGGATTTACCAGAGACAGAATACAGAATAGGGAGTAGAACAGGCAGATCCACTCAGAAATACACTGCTGAGGGGACCAGTGGGGTAAAACAGGAGCATTCTCTGTGCCATGTAGGTCAACTCCCTGGTCTATAGCTTCCTAGTGCCGAGACTTAACCTCCTGCACCACCAGGGAGGCCCGTAAACCTGCTGTATTATCTGATTTAGACACTCCAACAAAAATATCCTGTGGGGTACAAAAAGAGAACTTCTGTTAACAGATGTATTGGTCTATACAGTGGAAAGCTGATTCTGGTAGGTCTCACCCATGATCATGCTTGCTAATTACCCAACAGTGGCATGGCAAGAACATTCTCCCTCACTCTTAGGTGTCTTGATTTGAAAAACAGAATTTTTTTGTTTTTGAAAAACAGAATTTCAAGTCATCTTAATTCTTCTGCAGACTGTAATGAAACTGCAGAAAACACAAAAGACCTTTGGTCACTTATCCAACTACAAACTAGACTTTGCTTATTTATCTGCATATTTGGCAGACAGTACAAAAGTAAATTTTGGCAAATCCCATTCAGTTTATAAGCTTCTAGCCAAAGAAAATGAAGAGACTTGTTTATAGTGTCCTGTACATTTTGTGTATAACACTGATAAAAAGACATGTGATTCATTTACTTGTGATATTGAGGCTTTCACAATGTAAATTTTCCATTGCCTCAAATATATACAAGAATTTAATGAGATTGTTTTACTTTATTGTTTTTATTATACAAAATTCTTTTTGAGGAACAGTTCTACTCTGGCGAGTTACCATCCTGCCAATTCCTGGTGCCAGGCCAAAGTAATAACATCATGCTAAATAATATCCTCTTTACAGAAATACTGAATATGGGATGATAATTAGGATTTTTTAGTCTTACCACTACATAAGAGAAAAGAGGATCCCTAAAGACTCAGGAAGTTTAGGGAATTACTACTGGGAATAGAGACAGAAAAAGCAAAGCTATTTTACTACTTTTAAAAAGATCTGTTTATGCATACGAGAACTGGGTACAGGCCAGTGTGGGGTGGGTGGTAAGAGGGTTCACCAGAGACAGAGTGGGAAGCAGAACAGGTGGATCTACTGAAATACATTGCTGAGGGGAACATCAGGAGACACAGCAGAGGTCTGCTATGCCATGTGAGCTAGTTCTCTAGTCAGGGATCAAACTTCTGCTGTAGTGGCTGTAGACAGCTTTATAGTGCTGAGTTTAACCCCTTGTGCTATTAGGGAGGCCTAAATAAAACTATTTTATTGTATCATAAAACATAAAGAAATATATATATTAAAAAAAGAAATATCATTGCTATTTTTTATTCATAATATCCATCTGAAGTTGAGGCACTTGGCTGGGCAGATTCTTTGGAAGATGTTATTTCTCCATTTTTCTGATCCTCATTTCCCCCTCCCCTTCTCCCACCCTGGCATCAGGGACTGTTGCAGCAGTCAGAGTGGTAGGCTCCAGCAGCTTCTGCTGGGAGGCACGAGATGTGGCTTGGACTAACTGCCCACGCTCTGAAGCCAGAGCAATTCACTGGCAGTGTCCAGGCCTCTGCTCTTGGGAGCCTCAGGAGGGTAGGGCTTTCTCATTGCACAAACTTATCCATGTTTGCTGCATGGCATTTTGTTGTTTCTTAATACTTTTCCCAAGAAATACTATTTTTGTCTGTGCAACTGACCTGACACAACAAGCATCCCATATTTCTTTCCATCAAAGAAGGACGTGATCCAAATTCTTTGGATGTGATCTTGTTTTATATGTCACCGTGTCATTGGTAAATATTCATGGGGTTAAAAAGAATACTATTATGATATTCATAGGCTCCCAGACTCTGAAAACTATATTATCAAGGCCCTCAGACAGGCTCATTAATTTTCTGAACTTTATTTCTAAGCAACATTTTAAAAAATAGTCAAAACAAACAAACAAACAAACAAAAATACCTGAGGCATTCCACCAGGCCAGTGGTTCTCAAGCTTGGCTGCCTCATAAGTGAGACGGATTTGAAAATTGGTATTAAAAAAAATATATAGCTAGAGCCCTCCCTGGTGGCCAACGGATTAAAGTGCAGCACTATGAAGCTAGCCGCAGCCATTGCAGCACAAGTTCAATCCCCAGCAGGGAGCTGACCCACATGGTGCAGCACACCTCTCCTGCCTTCCCTGTTGCTCCCCTCAAGAGTGTACTTCGTCAGTTTGCCTGTTCTCTATCTCTGGTGAATCCTCTCACCACCCCTGCACCTCTGGCCTGTGTCCCAGTTCAGTATACATAAATAAATAAATCTCAAAAAAAAAGCAACTTTATCTGGGTCTAGCCCCAAGATACTCTGATTTAATGGGCCTGTGGTTTGGTGTTAGAACTCTTTTGAAGTAGCACACATTATGCCAAAAGTCAGTTTACTTTCTTTTCAAGATTACCATTAGAGATCTGATTTCTACTTACGCACATTCTGCCTGAAAGTTTTGATGACATGAAGTAGATTGTTCACAGAAGGTAAGGGCCAACTGAATTATCATTATACAGTGACTATCAATATATCAATAAAGTCAGTATGTTCAATGGCAATCATAAATCCTGTTTAGCTATTAAAGGTGAAATGAGACCTTCAACAAGTGCCTTTAGGTTAACATAGCCCACCTCTTCCGGCACTGACTGGTATAGACTGCCTTCTCAGAATTCTGAGTGTCACCACCTGTCCCTTCCCTGCTATTCCTAATACTTCCCCATCTTTCATGCCCACCAGTTCTAACTGGCCTCCTTGGTGAAATACAGTCATTGTGAATGTGGTCAGGCATTTTGAAAACACTCTTGCTACCACAATACCTCCAGCAATGATGGCTGTGGTAGAATGTGGACATGGATGGCAGCAGTAACAGGCAGTAAATGTGGTTGGGGTGATGGAGGCTACGGCTAAGGCAGCCATGAAGGCTGCCACATGGCAGCTGTGGCAACAGCTGATGGCCACTGGAGTGAGTGGCCGTACGGTGACTCCCACTGATGTGAACCCAGTGGGCAAGAACAACTAAGGAAGCTTCTCTGTTGGCAAGTTTCTCTCCCCCAAAGTCTACTCTGCCTGTGTGTGCAGCCAGCAGGAATGGCACAGAATTAAAACTCTGTCCCCTTTAGTAGTCCTGAGCAAAATGGGTAAGGGGGTTAGTGTTTAAACCCCCTCACCCCTCCGGTAGAAATACGTGTGCATATTCCACACAGCTGCCCAGAGCCCCCAGAGAATGAACCTACTGTTCACTGTGCCATCTGCTTGCCGATGCACCTGCTGTGCTGCTGTCCCAGACCTCTCACTTCCCCTCGCTCTACCCTTGTCTCGAAGGATCATTTTCCAATCCTTGCCTCAAAGTCTGTTTCCAGGGGACATAAGCTAAGATAGTGCGTCATGAACCAAGGGTTATGATTCAAGCACATATGGCACATTCACAAAAACTGACCGTGTGCCAAGCCACAAAGTCTCAACATATTTCCAAAGAGTGAAATCACATAAAACATGTTCCTAAGCCAACTGCAATTAGCCAAGATAATTAGAAAAATCCCCACATTTAGAAATTCATAGAATTCTAAACTTCTACATTATCTAAGATCGATTAGAAAACCACAATACAACGCCATGCTTGGTGGGAAATTTAGGTGTATATATGAGAAAAGAAAAAAGGCTGAACATGAGAGAGCTAAACTTTTACATCCAAAAGCAAAAAATTAAATCTAAGTAAAGGAAGTAATAATTAGTTGAATTAAAAATAAAAAACAGAGCACATTGCGAATTTCAGAAGTAGATTCTGGGAAAAAAAAAAGATTGATAAATCCACATTAAAGCTGATCAAGAAAAAAAGGAAGGGGATACAAATAACCAAGGTGAGAAATGAAAAAGGGGTTTTCACTGCAGATTCCATAGACCTTAAAGCGATAATATGAGAGTGACTGTAGTTAATAACTGTACTATAGAATTAAAATTAGCTAAGAGAAAAGAACTTAAATATTCTCACTATTAAAAAAAGACAAGGATATTCTGAATACATTTGTGGCACTTTGAAAATTCAGATACTGTGACTAATTCTTAGAAAAATATAATTTACCCAAACTGACACTCAATGAAATAAAACAATGACATTTTCACAGTAGCTTAAATATGGGCACAAAGCTTTTTTGCAGTTACTGCCATCAAGGTGACTCGCCACCCTTCTAATGTGCGTTGACCTCATGACTTGCTTTGGCCAATAGGCTATCGTAGTAAAGGCAATAAGGCCTCTGAGGTTTCTGTTTTTACTCCCTTGGACTCCCGAGAGCACCACACAAGGAAGCTGTTCTAGACTACTGAAAGAGGCCACTTATAGAAGATGTTCTGAAGTGAAGCCTCAATTTCCATCTTGGCTGTTATGGTCACACTTTAGCTTTTTGGAGCAGAAGCCCACTCGACTTAAGTCAAGTGGGGTCAGCTGAAGACATACTCAGAAATCTGATCATAAAATCCACAGTCCAGAGAAACTGGAGTTGAGAACAGAAAGCCACCAGGTCCAAGCAGGTCTTGTAGGCACTGAGAACAGATTACAACCCTCTCTGCTACCTGGGTTTTCTCCTGTTTGGCTACATCTGTCTGATGCTCCTGATCACACATGTTTTGGCTGGCTTCTAATAAGCCAATTCACAACTTCTTTTGTCTTAAAAATCCCCAAAAGAGAGACTGGCTCATTTCTTCAAGCCACATCACCAGCCTTGGGTTTCAAACAGCCAGTATGGTTAACATTGGATAGATTTCCAATTCCCTGAGGTATGGAGTTACTGCCAGAGAACAGTGATTTGTCTTGAGTATGGGTGCAGGTCCTGGCATACTCTGCTCTGCTCTGCTCTGGTCTGCTCTGCTCAGCTCAGCTCAGCTCAGGTCAGCTCAGCAATGGGATCTCTTTTTAGTAAACGAGCTGTCTGCCTCCTGCGCTGGAGGACCTGGCCCTGCTGGAGTCCCTGTGATCAAACCCACAGAGCCTGTGACCTTGAAGACATTAAGAACTCGCAGCAGCCACTGTTGGTACCAGCCCAGATCTAATCTGGAGGCTGCTCACTTGATTCTGACATGTTCTGCCCAGGGATCACTTCTGATGTCAGGAGCATACTTGTGCCTCTAGGGTAGGCAAATATGTCAATCACTGCCCAGGAAAATAGCCTTCAATTACAGATTGGAGGACAGCTATCCAATTTCTTTACCTCTTAGATGGGATAACTTTGGTAAGTTCTCTGCAGAAGTTCCCAGAGGGACTGAGCCCCAGCAGCAGGGACTGACTGGCTACTTCACCTTTTATTTCCCTCTGTCTTCCCTCTCTACCCCCCTCCAACTTCTAGTTCCATTAGAATCAAAAATCGTGTTCTTGATCAAGAACTAGAATCAAGTTCCAAATATACCACTTGAACTAAAGTTGTCAGCACTAGACTGTAGAATACAAACCAAGAGAGAAATCCAGTACAGCAGACTCCAAGTCACATCTTTCAATACAACTGTTTTCAGGAATAAAACCCATATTTTTATTTCCAATGCCTACTACCCATTTCTATCACTCAATTGGTGTGGAACTCAGAAGTGAAAGATTATTTCTAGTACTTGAAGCCTCAAGTACTCAAAAAATGCTCAAAAATTTTTTAGTAAATGCAAGAGTAGAAGAGAGAAAGAAACTTTCCCCAAGTCCATGTAGGAGACAGAATATAGCTGGTGAAATTTATGACTGTTAAATTTCTTAGCCATGGTGAACAAATGGAACATTCTGCCCCCTCCCAGGCTCTTCCTTAGTACACTAGGTGAAATTAGGGTGCAGAGTACCCTAAGGTACCATAGGTTAGAATCAAGACTTGATACAGAGTCTTTATTTACTGTGAGTCCTGATGTCCAGGGAAGCCACGCCCATGTCCACAGCCCTTAGAACTTCATCTGACCATTCTTCAGGTAAAGGTGTCCACTCTTGTCCTCTTTTCCTATGATCCAAAGAATCCTCAGGAGGCAGGAAGTGGCTGTGGCTGTGAAGGAAACACAACAACATCTACTAGCACCTTTTCTTTGCTCAGACCCAGGCCCACTGCTGGGGAGATCACACAGACACAGCAAAGGCTGCAATCGCAGAATTTATAGTCTGGGGGGAGTTGGTGTCCGGTAAAGACCTTGGTCCCCTACCATCTAAACATGCAGTGGACTGTCAACTGGGAGGAGGGAAGGACCATTTGCTTTATGTGCTGAGCATCCACCGTGTGCCCAGGATTGTTCCAGGTAATGGGGAACCCAGCAAAAGGTGCAGGAGATACATCTCTGCCTCTAAGGAGGAGAAGACAATCAATGACAAAAACAAGTTAACTGCTAATAATTTCTAGAAAAAAAGAAAAAAAAAAACTAGGATAAAGAACAGAGGTAAATGTGGAAGAAGAAATACAAGTAGCACTTTAAATTGTCAGCTACGTTAATGTTGAGGTTCCATAAAGTCTTTACATCATGCTTTATGAGACTTGCTTGTGTGTGTGGACATGGGCCTAGCCCTGGACATTAGGGCCAGTAAATACTCTGTAGCAAGACTTGATTTTAGCAAGTGGAGGAGGTCTGAATCTCACCGTCCCAAATTCGGTAGGAAAAGCTGCAACTAGAATGGAAAAGGGTGGTGAGGAAGCTGGGCATTGTGTTAATTACACTAAACACACTGAGAAGCCCCAACAAGGTTTTAAAGGGGAGAATGTGACCCAGCCCCCACTTGTAAACATTCCTTTGACTGTCAGAGGAGAGCACATTTGGGTTCAGAAGTGGTTGACAGGACGACTCAGGACAGGCTGGCTGCTTGCTCAGTGAGGGAAGGAGCATGTGGGAAGGTAGGGTATTTACTGTTCGGATGCTGAAATAACTTCCAAGAAAAATCACCAACACATGACTAAGAAATATGACTAAGGAATAGCATGAACAGCATGCAGTCATTACTGGATGTTTCTTGAACAGAATTAAAAGTCCTTCCCTCTGATAACTGCTTTTGGGTCTGAGTCTTTCATGTATACATGACTCATTGGAGAAAAAAAAAAAATTAATGACTACAGACCCAGTATAGGGGATTCTCCCCAATTCTGAGCCAAGAAAGCCTCTGAAGTGGGCAATACAAGGGAAGCAAGTAGGTGAAAACCATGGTGGAGGGAGCTTAGGTACCTTGGGTGCCTAGGGACGGGGATAGGTCATCAAGGGACATTTTCTTAGGGAGAAAACATTTACAGTGGAAACAAGCTTAGCCTGATGGATCAGCCAGGGTAACAGAGACAGAAGGGATGAGCTAGATAAATACTTGGCAGCAGGAGACATGCCTGTGAGTACCAATTACTAAGGCTGGAACACAAACTTGAGGTAGAAAGCAGGGGAGGCAGGGCCAGAGATACAGGGGCCACATCCTGTAAGGTGCTCTGTGTTGGTGTTTAGACTTGAACTGGCAGAAGTGAACAGTCACGAAAAAGTTTTCAAGAAAAGCAGAAAATTTTCTAATTCCTCTGAGATCACTCTGGAAGCATCACAGAGAATGGACTGTGAGGGGGAAGATGGGGCAGAGAGGTTCCAAAAGAAGGCTTCTCTTCTGGATGCAAAAAAAGATGCTGCTCTAGGGACACAGATAGGGGTAAATTCCAATATCTTTAGAGGTGGCTGTGAAAGGTATGACTTTTGACTTTGACTCTGGAATCACAGTCCGGTGGGGGAGGCAGTAAATGTCTAAATCAGTGTTTCTCAAGCATTTTTTCATTTTTGCTCCAAGGAACCTGTTAAAATACTTTAAAAAATTGTACCCTCGGTGAAACTTTAATACCACAGATACATACACAGGTATTAGTTAATGTCTTGTATACATTTAACAGTAAAATTTCCTCATTCTGTCTGACAGTACAGCCAAGCACACAGTGATGAATGAAAAGTAAGTTTGAAGGTGCATGAAGTCGGCTTGGGGACGAACACCATGAACCCAGCAAGAATTCTGTTCTCAGCATGAATGGGAAGCTACCGAAGCAAAGGTGTAATGTGACAGGTTTTAGTTCTTAAATGATGACCCTGGCCACTGACTAGACCCAAGACAAGAACAGATTCAGGGAGATCAGTTAAAAGGCTGGAGCAGGTAGCAGTAGAAAGGTGGGAGTGATGGCTGAAATAAAGCAGGAACTGTAGAGGGGCTGGAGGTGATCACAGTCTGTACTCTGGATGGAGAGGGAAGCTGTGTGGGTGGACTGGGTGGGAATGGCTCCAAGTTCTTTACTCTGAGCAACTGGACAGTTGAAGGGGTGATCTGAAAAAGTAAGCCCCCCCCTCACTTACTTCCACATTCGAGGGTGAAGGTGGCAATTGCACTTGCTCAGCACACTGTAGGAAGCGGCGCACATGCTCTGCACAGTTGCCCACTGCTGCCTCATTCTTCCGAAGACACTCCTCAAAGGCCTCAAAAGGTTCAGCACAGGCCTGGCGGATCTGACGGATGATTGGGCTGTGGGGGTAGGGCATTTCAGGCCTGAGACTTCCATGCCACTGCATTCCCCTTCCCCCACTCCCATACTAGCCCACTCACTGGGAGGATGTGCATTGAGCAATGCTCATTTTGAGGTGGTGGCAATCCCGCTGCCATGACTCAGGCTTGGCTGCCACACACTGGCCATATTGCTCCAATTCCCGGCCACAGTAGCGGGCAGTGATCTCCAGGGCTGCTTGCCTGTGGGACAGAGTAGGCTAAGAATAATTCCAGACAGCAAGCAAAATGGAAGTTCTGATTTGAGTGTGGGGTGGGTCAGATCTGGGAGTGTGCAACATCCTCAGGTAAGTGTAAAGGTGGCATGAATCATGGGACATGCAATAGGTTGGGAGCTTCTTGGGAGATAGTGGAAAACCTAAAAAACATCTGATTATTCTAAAGCAGACCTTGGAGGAGTCCTGGAAGAAAGAGCTTAGAGTCTAAGCATCCTACAACAGATCTTGGAATCATTCAGAGAAGGCCCTGGGCTTTAAAAGTAAGAGCTAGTTACAGGGAGAGAACTCATGATGTCTAAGTGGGTCTGGAGGTCCGAAAAGTGAGGCTTAGAGATAAAGAGGTGAACCCCTGGTTCTACAGAAGGGTCTTTTGACCAATCTCAAGATAAAACCTGTGAACAGATGTACTGTAAATTAAGACCTAAGGCCTTGGGTGGGTTTGGGGGCCCTGGGATGGGTGTCAAGGTCTTAGGGTCATACTCTGGAAGACTTAGCTTGAGAATCTCAGGCGGAGCTGGAAAAACAGGGCGGTGTAACGAACAGTCTGTGTGGATCCTATAGTGAGGTATGTAGTACTCTGGACAGATCTATAAGTTCAAGACATCAGTTAGGTGTGCCAGGAAGAATGACTTGGGGCTCTGAGGACGGGTCTATGAGTCCTAAATCCTGAAACAAGTCTGGAATTCTTGGGTTGTCGGGCAAGGTTCTGGATTCGGGGTTCTGAGAGGTAAAACTTCGGTGCTGAGATTAGACCTTAAAGTCAGTTACCACAAGGGAGAGGTGGGGACTAGACACGCGAAGGGGTGAGACTTGCGAAGGCCGGCGCTGGATGCTAAGGATGGAATCTTTTAAGTAACAGACTAATCCTTCCCGCAATTCTGGGCTAGGTTCTGAGGGAAAAATGGAGCGCGGGGCAACCCTCCAGCTACTCACATATTGATGCCGGTGTGGGATCAGCATGGGAGGAGCTGACCGCCTTTTCCGGTATCAGGTTGTCATGGCGGCGCCCAGTCCATCCCTCCGAGCCTCGCTCTTTCCGGTGGCCGAGCGAGCCAGCTGCTCATTCTCTTTAGGCCCAAACCGTCATGGCGGCGCCCTGTGTCTCCTTCCGGTCTCGCCCTTTAAAGGATGGGTCCTGAGTGGCCACTTCCGGCCCCAGCCGGCGAGGTTGCTTTACCCCTTTCTATTTCCGACTTGTCATGGCGGCACCCAGTTTGCACCGGAAGTAAGTGGGAGAGGTACAGAGGTGCCTCAGCCCTAAGTCGTGCGCGCCTGACTAACAGTCTCCTTGCGGGGCTGAGCCACAGCTACACATAAGTCTAACACTCTACTGGTGCTAGTGGCGAGCGGTTGCTGCTGCTACAGGCTGCTGCCTCCTACCCCCCGACGTGAGTGGGCGCCATCACTGCCGGCTGCAGCGAACAGGGTAAGAAGTCTTCACGTGGCCGCCACCTGCCTTGCGCATGCGCTCGCCGCCCTCTGTGGGCGCTGGCTGCTGGTTCTTGGGCGCACAGCGAGCTGGCACAAGCTTCTGACCAGGATTTTCCCGTCTGCTTAGCCTGTGTTGCCCAGATCTTATCCCCTGCTCCTTGGCCTCGATTGTGAAACCAGGACGTACGGGAATTTAATCCTGACACCTTGCGACCATGGGCAAATTATTTCTCTTTGTAATTCCCCCAGGTGATAATATATCCACCCCTTAGCAATGTATCCACCTCTATCTAGAGCGTACGGATAGACTTGGTGTGTTTCCTCATCTGGCTAAGCACTGGTAACCCGCAATTAGAGAACTGAGCATCACATCGGCCGTCCTTTCATAAGTGCTGCGGTCTCATCCCTCACCCATCCTATACTGCTTCACACATGCCATGTACCTGCACTGGGCACCAGTGCATCCCAGATGTTTACAAATTCCTCCGTCCTTTTTGTCATTGCAGCATTTCCCCCATACGGAACATCTCTTACCGAGATCAGCTCTGCAGATACGTCAAGTGTTATAATACATCTTGCACTTGGGAGCGTGGAGTGTCCATTAAATAAAATTTTCCTTTCAAAGGCCCCAGTGAGGGGGCAGAGTTCAATGATAGGATTGTTACAGTAACACTGTAACATGAAGACCAGTCAAGAGTGGGAAAAGGACCTACCCCTGGCAACCCTGGACGGGGGCCAGAAGGATGTCCAGGACCAGACAGCCATCTGCAGCGAGTAAGTGGGACCAATGATGTGTGATGCAGAGACACATGCAGACAGAAACCTGTCTAGCAGGAGGCAGAAGCAGTCCTTTAATTGATAAAAAAAGAAAGCTGTTTTTTTTGTTTTGATTGCAAGAGGCACCACTTTGTCCCTGTTGTTCCAGGGCTAAAGTGATGAACTGTTATCCCCAAGGTGGGCTAGGTCTGGAGGTCTGGATATTCCTGGGAACCAAAGGCTGTCTTTTAGATTTTTACTTTTCTCTCAAGCAGTATTCCATCGACAGATCTATGTAACATACATAATTTTAGCTCTAGCCTCTCGTTGTAGTCGTTTTCTACATTTTCAGATATATGTAATTCAATTTTTGTATCTTTCCTTTAGTGTTGTGTCCTATTGCTTCACTTTTTAAGCATGTGTACATATACATGCACACATACTTATTCATGTTTGAATTTTAATCTGTTGCATGTCATTCTCATTTGAGTAGGTTTTATTCAGTTGGGTTTACATTCAGTTCATAAAAGATAAAACATTTACCGTTGTGCATAGCAGTGTGTTTCAGCAGATACTAACTTCTGTTCTACCAGCAGTCCATTCATAGAAATCTAAATCTTTCAATAGGCACAAATGCTTAAATTCTAACACTACAGATACATGCTTTTATTGATGAGGTAAAAACCATCACTCAGCCTTTAACAATATTGAATTCAGATAAGTAATTTATCTTTCAACAGTAACCACTTTCTTTGAGTATATTCATTTATCTTTTAACTACACTCTATTCCAGATATATAGATGCATTGTGTAGTTTTCCTTTCAGTGAAACACCTTCTTTATTTTCTACCAACATTCCACTTATAAGGATGTATTTCCTACCATTCAATTTTGTGTATAAATTTTCAGTAAATATATTCAGTCACAAACTCTTCATTAATGGAGATATAAAATAAAGAATTCAGTTATGTGTATAATAGTTTCAATTTTGATAAAGTACCCCCAACAATCCCCCCAACAATCCAATTTACAGAAATACTAGCTTATAACCTTACTTCTGTGTGTTTAGTTTCCCTTTATTCTGCTATATTCTAAGAGACATAACACCCCTCAATATTGTATACAGGTTTCTCTTTGTTCTTTATATACCCATTCATATTCTGTCATTCCATGTTGCACACAGCTCTTTTATATTTATATATATATCTTATTATGTGTATCTTAGTTACAGTCACCTATAATTCAAATTTGATTATGTAATTTTCCTTTGAATAGATATATTTCAGCTGCTGTTTACTCACAGAAGTATCTAACATAGCACTCAATTTAGTTTATCAGTCTTTTAACAATACCTTCTATTTTGCTTTGCCAATACACAACACAGACATTGTATCACTCAGTCATTAAAACAGCTCTTTTTGAGGTGATACTTCATTTGTATTTTGCCTACAACCCATTTCTATAATCAAGTGTCCAAATGCCAAATTCAGTTTCTGTAAGAAATTGTATGGAACACGGGAATGCCCTGTCACGGGTCTTATCTAATAGCGCTGCTTTGGGATGGTTCAATCGTTGCAACAGAGACCATCAGTCCCACAAAAGTGAAAATAATCAGTGTGGGTTTTTGAAGTTAGCTAAACGTTTCTTAGTGAAATAAAATATAATTCAATTTGATGTATAATGTGATTTTCTCAATAGAATAATGTATCTTCCAATACTTCATTAACATACACCAAACCATAAAATGTAAATCAGTTTATGTACAGCACTTTGCTGTATGTTCTAACAGTATATTCAGAGATAATACTCAGTCTTGAACACAGATTTTTTTCTTTCAAACTATACATTCTTTTGTGTTCTTCCATAAAAATGAAAAGATAAGCAATAGGCTGGGAAAAAATATTTGCAGAAATTTATGACAAAAGCCATTCATATAACTATAAAACTATATAATTATTATAAGAATACATAATGAAATCTTGAAATTCAATAGTAAAAAGACAGACAACCCAATTAGAAAACAAGCAAAAGATAAGAACAGACATTTCACTGAGGTTATGCAGACAAGAAGAAAGTACACTGAAAATTATTCAACATCACTAACCACCGGAGAAGTGCAAAATAAAACCACGAGCTATCACGCTAGTTATTCACTTATTAGAAAGGCTAAAATGCAGTGATAGTCACGATGTAGGAGAAATGGATCACTCATATAGTGCTGGTGGGAGTGGAGTGTGGTAAAGTTTGGCAGCTTACCAGAAAACTAAACATGCAACGCCCCTTACCACAGAGCAATTTTATTGGTGGTCACTTGTCCTAGAGAAAGGAAAATACGTGCTTACACAAAAACTCCATGATCGTTCAGAACAGCTTTATATGTAAACACAAAACGCCAAGCAACCAAAATATCTTTAAACAGGTTAACAACACCCCCACAGAGTACTATATGTAGCAATAAGATGGGATAAACTACTGATTCATCCAACAGCTTGGATGAATCTCGAGGGAATTAGGTTGAATAGAAAAGGGCAATCTCAAAAGGTCACATGATTTTATTTTACATACTATTTTTGAAATAACAAAATTATTAGTGGTGGCCAGGGGTTAACAATGGGGGAAGGAGGTAGGAATGGTTCTAAAAGGATAGCATCTTTTGGTATAACAGCTTTTTATCTTGGTTATACTACTGGTGACACCAATCTCCACCTGATAACACTGAAGAGAACTATACATACGTATACAAACGAGTGCATGTAAATTGGGAAATCCAAATAAGCTCTGTGAATTGGTCCAATGTCAATTTCTTAGTTGTGAATCTAGCATATCAATTTTAGTTAAAGCTGAAAGTTAACTATTTCATTAACCATTTTTAATGCTGTTCAAAAAAAATGGAGGGATGTGAACAATAGATTTCACTTAAGGGATGATGAGGTAGATAGGCTGGTCTGGACAGTCTAAACAGATTCTACAACCAGTAGGGGAAGTTTCAGTCAACAGATTCAAGGTGTTATTCCAGATTTTGTTTTCAATAGTTTCATGAAGCAAAGCCAGAATATACCTTGAATGGTCTATTTTTCTCAGTCTAGAATTATCTGCCTCATAATTAGTGATAGGCCACTAAAGCCAAACTCAGTGAAAAATTATAAAGCTTTTACACGTCAAAAAATACCTTACACTTCCACAAGTAACTGTAGGCAAGGCAGCTCCTATCAACACTGTAAAAGTCAGTATGGGACAGCCCAGTTACCATTAATGACACAGTACATACACACGGTGCATGCTGAATACAAAAAAGGACACATCCACTAGATCTTATGGATTTAGTATAGAAAAATATAGCCCAGTTCATTTTTTATATTCACCACATGTTGAAATGACATTTTGGCTACATGACATCAGATATTATTTCTAAGATGTCAACAAACTAACTGTCCATTAAATAGAGAAGTGGGCAAAGAAAATATGGCATTTACACACAGTGGAGTAGCATTAAACCTTAAAAAGGGAAATCCAGCCCCATGCAACATGTTTTCAAAAACCTGAGGAGACCAGTCACAGAGAAATACTCTGCACAGACTCACTGACAAGAGTTATCTGTAATATCAAACAGTCAAGCTTAGCGAAAGAGAGAATGGTTACCAGGAGCACTGCAGGGGAGAAGATGGGAATTGCTGTGCCAGGGCCACAAGGAAAATGAATGAATTCTAGAGATCTGCTGTACAGTACTGTGCCTATAGTTAACAAAACTGCATTGTACACTTAATTTGTTAAGGAAAAAGTGGTCTTGCTGCAACAAGCAAAAACAAGGGGGCCGGAGGAAATAGGATGGATGTTTATTATTATCCTGGTTGTTTCAGAGGCCCATGAAAATCCATGTAATTGTTCACATTAAATGTGTGGTTACCTGTATAACAATCACACTTCAATAAATCTGTTAAAAAATAACTGTAACAGTAGGAAAAGATATGACTGCATCCATGGCTTGCATCATATTTGTATTTGACTACTCTGTTCTACATGGACAAATACCTGTTTGAAAGTGAAGTACTGAAAGCTGGGTTTGGAAAGGACAATTTTCCCTATAGAGTCGTCTATTTTTTAATGGAGCATTTTTTTAAAATCAACTTCAGTAGTTATTATACCAGAGACTTAGAGAGCTTGAGTTAGTCTGAAAGTCTAACACCCTTTACAAAACACTGGCATAACATAGCAACAGCTTTACTGAAGTTAATTTTGCTTTAACCTGATAGCTCTAACCCAGAAGGCCACATCAAGTTAAATGACGTCCAGTTTCACTTTGATGTTCATAGCTGCCAGCTCAGCTACAAAATACCGAAAAACGTAAGGCACAGAAACGGTGTCAATCGTGTCGCTGCGGTCACACACCGTGCAGTTGTATTTTCTATTGCGCAGGGCAGACCAGGAAGGGGGTGGCTTCTCCAACAGCGGTGAGAGTAAACTACCACACTTCACACACACGTGGGCTACCGATCGATCAGAACAGTTGAAGAGGCGGTCATGAAGGAGAAAAGATGTACCGTGAGCTAAAAGAGCATCCCGCTCCATTTCCCCAAAACGGATTCCACCCTGGACATTTCTCCCCCCAATAGGCTGGTTTGTGACTTTGTCTCTGGCTCCTGTTGTTCTAACTTGGAATTTGTCTGAGACCATGTGTCGTAAGCGCTGATAGTAAACCACACCTATGAAAATGTCTGCTTCCAGTTCGAGCCCACTGATGCCGCTGTACAACCTCTCAGTGCCATAGAAGTTGTAGCCAGCAGCCTTTAACATTTCGCCGAAGTATTCCAAGGCCGAGTTCTCCTCTGAAAAGGTGAAGGGTGTAGCATCATGGCAGAGACCATGCAGGGCAGCAGACTTCCCTGCCATACTCTCTATTAACATACCAATGGTCATTCGGGATGGAAAGCCATGTGGATTGAACAGAATGTCTGGGACCATCCCACTCTCAGTAAATGGCATGTCTTCGACTGGCCACAATCGGCTCAAGATGCCCTTCTGCCCATGCCGACTGGCAAATTTATCTCCGATAGTAGGGTTCCGAGGGACTCTCATTGTGATGCAAACACACTTGAATCTTCCATTTCCAGTGTCATTACTGCACACTTTGATGTTATCCACAACACAATTTTCTTTACTCCTAGAGAAAAATAAATAAAAATACAAAAAGTCAAAACCACTTATTTCAACATACAGAAAGGCTTAAGTTTTTTTGTTTTACAAAAGTTTATTTTTACATCATTTTGTACATTTTTTTTCCCATCTCAATTGTAATCCCTGCGGGTTTCCCATCACCAAGTCACCCGTGTGCCATCACCATAATCCCGTGCATTCCCCCCCCCGCCATTTTTGATCCCATTCCCCACTCCATCCCCGCAAAATGTCTCTGGTATATGGTTGTTCATTATTTTTGTTATTTTCTCGCCTGGTCCATTATACTCCTGCTATGAGTGAAACCATCCGGTATTTTTCTTTCTCTTTCTGGCTTATCTCACTAAGCATGATCTTTTCCAGCTCCATCCAAGTTGCTGCAAAAGACATGTGTTTCTCTTTTTTGGTTGCTGAGTAATATTCCATTGTATATGTGTACCACATCTTTTTTATCCAATCATCTACTTTTGGGCATTTGGGCTGCTTCCATGTTTTTCCAATTGTAAATAAAGCAGCAATAAATATGGGGGTACAGGTATCTTTCTCAATCAGTGTTTTTGTGTCTTTTGGGTAGATACCTAGGAGTGGGATTGCTGGGTCGTAGGGAAGCTCCATGTTTAGCAGTTTGAGGAACCTCCAAACAGTTTCCCATAGTGGTTGCACTAGTTTGCATTCCCACCAGCAGTGCAGGAGAGTTCAGAAAGGCTTAAGTTTTATGGATGTAACTAGTTCTCCATAAAGATACTTGGAAACCTTAATTTTATCTCCAGTCTCTGATTCAAATAGAGATTTCTGTTAAAAGTATTTATAAATAGGGTTACTGATTATGCTCACTACAAAGTTATGAATTATAAAATAAGCTGAAAATAAGTTCTTAAAAAAATTTTTTTATGCATACAGAACTGGGGTTCAGGCCAGAGAGGCAGGGGGTGGTGAGAGGATTCACCAAAGACAGAGTGGGGAACAGAATAAGCAGATCGAAGAAGCACACTGCTGAGGGGAGCAGCAGGCAGTTCAGGAGAGGTCTGCCGTGCCATGTGGGTCACCTCTGGGGCGGGAAGCAACCTTGCACTGAAGTGCTACTGTCAGCTTTGCAGTGCTGCGCTCCAACCTGCTGCAACACCAGGGAGGGCCCAAGATATTTCAAGTTTTAATAGAAGGCACAATAAACCCAGTATTTTAGCTAAGAAACATCCCTAACAACACGTGTGGCATATTTCTACATACTTCATAATCAAACATGAAGGCTATAGTTTAAAAATAAATCATAGATAACAGTCATCAATTATGACAGACTGACAAGAGAAACAGAAACACTGACAGAATTTCATCTTGTTTAAAATATATGCATTTATAATGGCTGCGTCATAACTATCCTTTATATTTTTTCTAGAAATTCTCCTGTTAAAAGATAACTTTTATTGACTTCCAGCATTTTCTCTGAGCAATAGCCTTTAAAAAATAGCACTGGGAAAACAACTCCTAGAATCTGACTGCAGAACTGAGGGAGAGAGGGAGTGGAGGAGATGTGTACAGATGAGAGAGCCAAAGGACTCTGACAGGGGATTATGGGCACTTTGGTGGTAGGTGTGGCTCAGTAACCTACATTCAAAGAGATGTAGCCAGAGACCCCTAAAACATACAAAGTGCTGTAAAACAATGTTACCTTGATTTAAAAATATATTAATTAAATAAAATTAAATTTTACAAGTTAAAAAAAAATATATAGCACTGGGTATTCAAACTTACTTATAATACATCACAAAGCTCTCCCCAGTGTTTAGGTTCAGGTAGCTGTAATATGGATCTCCATACTGCAGTTTAGCTCCAATAAATGGCAGCCCGTCATCATCCAACTTCTGCAAAACCCGCGGGTCACCAGGTTTGATTCCAAACACCAGGCTATCATCTCCTTGTTTAATTTTTTCAGAGAGATCTATGAACTCAGACTTGTAGACACTTCCATGGGCAAAGCCTCGTTCCCAAGACGCCTTATTCACAATCTATAAGGTCAAAGAATAATTAATTTAGGACAAACAAGGCCAATTAGTGATTTTTAAAATAAAACTGGTTAAAATTATAATACTTGGTTTAGGATAACTGGTATTCAATTTTAAAATTGTATCTACATGTTCCAAATCACCTAAACTAAAAGCCAAGTACACATAAATGACTTAAAACCTAATCATGCATAAGTATAAAAGGTCAATGTCTCCAAGATTGCTTTACACTTTCAAAATCTACTGTGTCCTCAAACCTGCATGCGTGAATATTATCTCCCTTGAGGTTTGCTGCTGTCAACTTAAAGCATGAATTAACTTTTTACAGAACACTCACGTGCCAAATCCTAGGCACCTAGATATAATCCTTCAGTGACTTAACAGTGGGGGGGGAAAAGATAAAAATTAAAAAGCATGGAACTAGATCTCTTGGTGAAACATACCATAGCATCCTCCATATCATAGCCAGTGTAAGAAATAACAGCAACGATGGCATTTGTCCCAATTGGATAGTTATCCATGTCATAATAGTCATACATGTAAGGTCTCACTAAAGGGCTCTGTGGGGTCTGAAGACGATACAGTTTATTATCTGATCTGTCTTGGTAAGTGAGAAGAGGAAAACCCATGGTTTGTTTACCTACAAAAGGAAAAAGAACTTAGTGTTTTAGTTTGTCCCCTTGATTGCAAAGATAATATACGAAGTTGGAAACACTAAAAGTTAATTTTAGGGAAATGAATAAATAAATCATGATGTAACCACATACTACTTGCCACATACTACGCCACAGTGTGCAAGTGCAGTAGACCTACATATATCAGTATGACTAGACCACGAAAACAATGCAAGTGGGAAGAAGTACAACACTACGCTAATCAATACTATTCTTACACATTTGTAACACATGCCAACTATCCTATGCCCAGTGTATGGACACATGAATAATGTAACAAAAAAGCATTAAGAGGCTATAGTGTCACACAGTCCTTTCTCATATACACATACACACCTTTAGAGCAAGATGTCAGTATCTGTTAATTCTGAGGAGCACAGGACATAGGCAAGACTTTATTACTTTAGAACACAGAATCAACTCAAAATAAAATTATTTTGAAAACTAAAACATTGATGCAGTAGATTTTTCATAAATACAGTATAGGAGACTCTAGTTTCCAGTAGTAGAAGGCTACTCTGACAGGACCATCCTCAACTGCTAATATCCAGGAAAATAATAAAACAAAAACATATACCTACATGCACACAACTTTGAAAGCACTGAAGAGTTACCAAAAGCAATCACAGACTTAAAAATATATACAACTGGAGAAAAAGAATTAGAATTGCACTAGGTGAATTTCCAGTTTTAAATTTTTTTTTTTTTACTTTATTTTTGCCTAGCAGTGTCATAATATAATGGCTATGAAAGTGTTCATGATTCAAAGAACCAAGGAATAGAGTTCAGAGAACAATAAGGGGAGAAATTCCAGAGAGGGAAGAAGCCAAGGGAAGAGTCTTAAATTATGCACATAAAGTAAGTCCAAATCTTTGGAAGACTCATGAACAGTGTATGTGTGGAATATTTTTAAGCAGCCCACCTGAGGCAAAGAGTAAACTTCAATGGCTATGTTTAAGTCATCTAGCAGTTAAATCTAAAAAGCAATCCTCCTCAGAGGAACACAAGAGAATCCAATCTAAAACATTTCATTGCAAATGTCCACCAATACAAACTGATAAAGAAACAGGAACATACTCAAGAAAAATGTCCAATTAGTGGACACTGATCCCGAGATGGCCCAGATAATGATTTAACAGATAATGAGCTAAAAAAATATCTGTTGCATGACTCTGCTCAAAATTTTAAGGAAACTATGATAAGCATTTTAAAGAAAACAAACTATAAACATATAAAGAAACGGAAATTAGTCTAGGCTGTAAAACTGAATATATGAAATAGAATGAAAAGTCAGTGAACATGATGATTAATAAAAATTCCTGTATGATGAAAGAAAAGAGAGATAACAGAAATCCAGTTGCTTGAGACAAGTATCCAAAAGCTTAATTTACAGGATGTGTAGCTAAAATCTCAGACAAGAAAAAGCATGGGGCAGATGTATATATTTTTGAAATAATGGTAGAAAACTTCACAAACTCCATTATTATTATTTTTTTCATAGATTTGAGAAGATCAGCAAAACCCAAGCAACACACACTCAAAGAACATTTTACGTAAGTATATCAAAGCCAACTTGCTATAAATCAAAAATAGAAAAATTGTGACGAAACAGGAAAGTTAACACAACCTCTGGCTGAACAACAATGCAGATAGCTATTGACTTCTAATTAGGAATGACAAAGGCCAAGAAAAGACAGTATAACATCTTTTAAGTGGTAAAATTATTTCAAAATTAAAAAGTTACAAGCACATTTCTTCTGTGACTATCATCTCACGTCACCTTACCCATCTGGCACTGGTACATGTTCCGCGGACTCTGGTTGTGATCGGAGAACGGGATGAAGTTGGCAATAACACTCAGCAGGCTGTGAGGAAAGAGCTCTTGGTGGGTGGTAACTCCAGCAAAAACCTCATCCTCAAAGATAGCTATGTTCATGAAGAGCTGGAAAAGAGGAAGGATGAGAAAGTGCAAATGCAAGGTACAAAGTAACTGTCACTGCTGACATACTACTCCCACCAAAAGACTTAAGAGAAACCCACCCCACAAACACAGCAGAGATCCACTGGAAAGCACAGGGAAGTTTCCAGTTAGAAATACACTTGCCTTAGGGATTTCAGTCTCATTCTACTCTGGTCCTTTGCAAAGGGGGATATGAAGAGAAGTTTTTTTTTTTTTTTTTAAATGATATAATAGTTTATTTTTATATCATTTTGTGCCTTTTTCCATCTCTGCTCTAATCCCCATCACCAAATCACCTGTGTGCCATTACCACAGTCCAAGGCATGTCCCCTACCCCCAACCCATTTTTGATCCCATTCCCCACTCCACCCTCATAAACTGTCTCTGGTCTATAGCTGTTCATTATTATTTTCTCCCCTGGTCCTTCTATACTCCTGCTATGAGTGAATGAAGATTTTTGCTATAAGTGCACGAAGGTTTTTGTTAAGTAGCAGAAAGCCCAATCTTGCAAAAGCCAAGATGCAGGCAAAGAATATGAGTGCATCTAACTGAATATTTTATCCTCACCCTCAAGGCAGAACAGGGTGGGAAGGAGCTTTGGGAGTTGGACAGAATGTGACCACAACCCTATTATAACAATGACAACCCTTCAGAATAACAACAATAACCAGGTCTCTGCATAGCCATTATCGCCCAGTTTCTGCATACCTGTTCCATAGTTCCAATTAGCTCTTCTTTACCCAGCTCCAAATTCTGCACAGGTCGTATCAGTCTACAAGGAGTGGTGAAAAGGAACAACCCTGGGTACAGGCCAGGTTTTCCTGTCATGGGGATGAGGGCCACCTCCATCCAGGGAGGAATTCTTTTTTCTCTCAACACCTGTTTTAACATAAAGAGTTCAATGAAGAATAAACAATGTATTCACCTCATCCGCCTGCTACTCGGTACAGCAAAAGTAGGGAAGAGGTTAAGCATGACAAGCAGTTACCTTGAGAAATTAGTTATGCAGGTAACAAACCTAGTGCCTTGCCAGTCTCACTCTTGGCAGAGAGTGCCACTCACCCCATTACCCAGGGCTGGCAGAGCCCTACCAGCTGGGAGGCCCAACACCACTACCAGGCAGACCAACAGTGAGAGCCTGGGGAACAGGTGAACAAGGATGTATGGGTGGACATACTACATGATACAGTTCTACAGAATCGAAAATAAAGTAACTACTGAGTTTATTTTATAAGGTATTCCATGAAAAAAAAATCCTTCTTTCAGGAACATTTTTAAAAAATACAAACCAAACTTTGAAAAAAATAACAAAATTACATCTCAGAACTTTTGGGAATTCACAGGTAAACATAATAAAAGAACTCAAATACTAAACATAATAAATGAACTCAAAAGCTTAAAAAAAAAAAAAAAGGAAATAAACCCCCAAAGTACAAATAAGGAAATTATAAGGTAAAAAATCTGAAATTAATGTGGTACAGAGAAAGTTTCAAACTAAGGAAATTCTCAACTTTTCATTAACGATCACTCACTCCCTGGGGGTGGGGACAGAAGCCACCGAAAGGGGACACAATCCATTAAGACAAAAGGGGAAACGCCACCTAACACAAGCATCACTGAAGTCTCATGTGCCACAAGCTGTGCAGGGGATGGAAAATGTTCTCATTCTTTTTATAAAGCAGAGACTTATGAATATAGATTCGAACAATTTTAAATAAATTGAAATCTATTTCAGGGCGTATTTCTTAAGTCTTAAAACCCAGTGGGGTACACAGTCCCAAAGACACAAGAGCACCTTGAACTGTCGGACAGCATCGGCGACGCCGGGCGCTAGCTCCTCGGCCACCCAGCCGACCATCACGCCGTCCAGCAGGACAGGGTAGCACGCGCGGTAGGGTCGGTGCGGCGCTCCGTCCACCGGGGTGACACCTGAGGGAGGGAACACACAGAATGGACCTATCTGGATGTTTTTCCAGATTAAAAAGCCCCTCCAGAGGGGTTCAAAATGGCATCATTTTATGTAGATGCTTTTGTATTGCTGGACTAAGTTTCAAAGTATGTCAGGAAGGACACACAAGCAGCTAGACTCTACTGCCTGTGGGAAGAGGTACAGGGGGACAGGGAATCCATCCACTGTAAACTTCATTTTTTAAAAATTTATTTATTCATTCATACAGAACTGGGGCACAGGCCAGAGGTACAGGGGCGGTGAGAGGCTTCACCAGAGACAGTGTGGGGGGCAGAGCAGGCAGATCGACGAAGTACACTGCTGAGGGGAGCAGCGGGCGGGTCAGGAGAGGTCTGCCACGCCATGTGGGTCACCTCCGGGGCAGGCGGGAATCGAACTCATGATGAAGTGGCTTTAGCTTCTTAGTGCTGTGCTTTAACCTGCTGTGCGACCAGGGAGGGCCCCACTGTAAACTTTTTATGTATGATTTTAAAACCATGTAAAATGTTGTGCCCCACCTCCCCCAATTCAATTATTATTGATTTTCAACTGCAGATCTATATCTGGAAATTTGCCTACTTATTGAAAGCTATTTGTAACCCTGATATCTGAAGCATCTGAGGACACTCAGCAAAACATCTGTCTCGAAAACAACTGAGGTCTAACGAGGTGACACCCACCTTCTTGTTTCAGCTCTCATTCTATAAACAAGGGTCCTTCCTTTTCACTGTCTATTCAGTGCCATGGTTTTCACATTTCTGTGCTTTTTGAAGGTGATGGAATTTAAAGTGCCTGGAATTTAACGTGGCCTGAGGTACAGTGTGCAAGTGCTGTCTAGTGGTCCTGCCACTGTGCTGTGCCTTCTGGGAAAGAAAGCACGGTCACAGCAGCTGATACTTAGAGTGCTGTTGGCTGGGGGCTCAATGTGAACAAATCACAGTATATTTAAATACGGTCTTTAAACAGAAACACAAACATATAAAATAAGCATAACTTAATTATTTGCACCTATTAAAATCCACATAACCAGACAACACTGCTCATCACTGTACAACACATACCCAGGTTGCAGAGCAAGGCTGGAATAGACGCGGTGTACACAAACTGTGTGACAACCTCACAGGTGGCAGTTAAGTGGTTCATCAGGCCACAGGGCTCCCCATCTGGGGTGTGCACGGGACAAAGAAAACCCCAGGACTCTGGCAGCAGCCTGCGCACTGTGGTGGTCCTCATCTTGGCAAAATCAGCACCTCTGTGCACACAGCGGAAGTGGGAGAGATAGCGTATGAAGTTCAGCTTGTCAGCCACAACGCAAAGTCCAGAATCTTGCAGGAAGCCAAGACCTAATAAAATAAAAGTCATTCAATAATGGGCTAATCCTTAAGAAAAATTTTAAAGGCTATTTTTATTGGTAGCTCACATAAGAAGACAAGACTACATCCTACAGATCACAGAGTGGGTTCCTCAGCTTACAAAGCTCCCTCAGCTCGGACAAGTGGGAAGTAGTCAAAAACCTCAAATTCACAAATTTTATTAGTCCTGACTGGTTCCCTACCTACTCTACCACTTTGTCCTTTGTACGGAAACATTAAATACATAATAAATAGCCAATATTAAATGGGAATCAGTTAAAAGAGTTGGTATTACTAAAGTAATTATTAGCCTCAGAATATGTATCAGAATCAATCATACTTTTTTTGTTTTTTGTTTTTTTTTTTAAAAAAAAGATTCCTTGGACCCTCAAACATTTTTAAAGTTTTCCTCCCATTCTGAAGCAACTGATTTAGAATGGGATGTGTAACAACCCTCCCACATCACCTATACAGGTGTCCTTCCTTAGGGGGCTCAACCGCCTTTAATCTTCTAGGCGGCACAGGAAATGTATTCGATTATACACTGATTTAAGCCAGGAAGACCCTGTCTATTTAAGCTCCTGAGGTTGATATACACTATTAGGTAAAGAATTTTATAAATATAACTAAAATAAAGCCTATTTATTCAATTTCACCTGTTTTAGAACGTAGATTCCCAGTTGCAAGAAGATATTCAAATGGTTTGGTAAGGTCTGTTCCCAGATTAAAAATCTTCATCAAATTTTCACTGTTAATGGACACATTAGTCTTCTGAGATCTCTTATCTATAGCTAGTTTAATGGACACTAACCAACTTTCCATTTTTTCCTGAAATAAGAATGAAAATTAAATATTTTGCATTTTAAATTCAAGTTTCATATTCATTCCAACATAATCTATGTGTTTATAACAAAGGTCCACTAATACATATACTTAAATACAGAACAGCTACACTATAAACCCGGAAGACAGCTTTTCAAGTCAGGCAATTAAGATAAAAGTACAAACTTTTGGTGGCGCAGCGGGTTAAAGCACTGCACTGAGAATCTAAAGCCGCTTCCGCATGAGTTCGATTCCCGTCTGCCCCGGAGGTGACCACATGGCGCGGCAGACCTCTCCTGACCCGCCCGCTGCTCCCCTCAGCAGTGTACTTCGTCCATCTGCCTGTTCTGCTCCCCTCTCTGTCTCTGGTGAATCCTCTCACCCTCTGCATCTTTGGCCTGTACCCCAGTTCTGTATGAATAAATAATAAATCTTTAAAAAAAAAAAAAAAAAAAAAAAGTACAAACTTTATAGATCTGGGTGTTTTACCCTCAGACTAAAATGTCAAGACTACTCACATTTTGATTGGCTCTTTGTGGTGAAAGACCATTTTGTACAAAGCAGCAAACAGGACAGCACCCCTAGTCTTTACTTACTGGACACCAACAGCACCCCTCAAGTGTAACAATGTCCATTGACAATGTGGTACAAAAGTCATTCTCACTAAAGAATATCAACACTGGGGGCCTCCCTGGTGGTATAAAGGGTTAAAGCGCAGCACTATGAAGTTATCCATAGCCACTGCAGCACAAGTTCAATCCCAGGCCAAGGAGGTTTACCCACATGGCTCAGCAGACCTGTCTTGCCCCCTGCTCCCACAACAGTGTATTTCAGTCAATCTGCCTCTTCTGCTCCCCACTCTCTCTGGTGAATCCTCTCACCCCCACACCTCTACCCCAGTTCTGAATCAAAACTGGTTTGCTTTGTTCTTAGCAAATTTTGAATTAAAATGCTTTTATCAACAGTCAGAACAGCATCAATCTCAGAAACAGGCAGCAACAAAGACTTGAGCCTGTTGTTCCAAGACCAAAATCAACCAACAGCTCAAAGTCCTCAAATGATATCTAATGCACATGACAGCTAGTAGGCAAGACTGACACGTTCTTCTCATATGAAACTTGAGATGTAACGGAAAAGGAAGAGAAGACAAAAGAGGAAAGAGCCACAGAGATGAGGAAGAGAGACTGGGTAACAGCACTGGAACCTGAGCCAGGAGGAGGCAGGAGACCCGCCCGTGTCAGAGGTCTGCCCAGGGAACTCACTGCCCCTGCACTCACAGCCAACAGCACTGTCTCGCAGACTGGGTGACCTGATGAAATCACATATTTTCTCAGAGGCACATACATCACAAAACCTTTTGCACTTGGGAATACTAGATAGCATGCTAACATCGCACCTAGGCCCATTTTACACAGCCAGATCACCAACTAAAAGCACAAAAATGTGAGAAACAAGGAAGTAACCCTTGTTTACAGAATGAGAGCTAAAATAAGAAAGAAGAATGCCACTTTGTTACACCTCAGCAGGGAACAGGTAGATCGGGAGACTCCACAGTTTTTACTCTGAATGTGTGTCTGTAAATAACCATGAAAGTGCTGCCAGAACTGATATTGTTGGTGTTAAAATTAATCTGCGTGAGTACACCTACTCACTTTTGTAAATATGAAACAGTGAATGAGGATGGACTGTATGGTGACATGTCATTCACATTCAATCTAATGTTCTGATCAAAATCTTGCCTTTACTTAGCCGATATAAAAACATTACAGAAATTTCCGAACCTAGTATAAGCTAGAACCTTTGATCAGATTTCTTAGTACTAAATATAGAAAAAAGAGACTATATAAAATGCCCAAGCTAGCAGTTACAGACAACTCTCTTTATCTGTAGATCCTGCATCTAAATTTAAAGATGGAGCTGGCCCCACAATAGGTACTGAACATGTACAGACTTCTTTGTCATTATTTCCTAAACAATGCAGTATAAAAGCTATCTATACGGTATTACATTATAGTAGGTATTATAAGTAATCTGAAGATTGTTTAAATTATGAGAAGATATGCATAGGTTTTATGCATTACTGTACCATTCTACATAAGAGATTTAAGCATCTGAAAATTTTGATATCTGCAGGAGGTCCTGGCACAAACTTCCTGTGGATGCTAAGGGGTGTATGTATAAACACACATGGGAATTAACACTGCCAGATCCTGTCTCACCATTCTTCGGAGGCACAACTTGACCCAGGTGAGAAAAACACATATTTACCTTCAGATACATGAGGAAGAGCTGACCAGGAGTAAGGACTTCCTGATTCACCAAACTATCAGGATTTTCTTCCATGCACTCTCCTTTAGCTAAAGCAAAAAGCTTCCGGGTCATGAAACAAAGTATATAAAACTTTTCAGTATTGGATTTCAAGTGGATACAGATGCACTGGCTGTCAAAACAGAAAGAAGTAGTCACTTGAGCACTCAACATGTGCTCATGGCTGTGTATGAGACAGAGCTGGGCTACGGCAGAGCTGCTTTACATAAAACCACATGGTAGTTACACAAGACAAGTCCTCATTCCAAGGAAATACAGGGATGATGACTGCAACTTTCAAATCATATGGTGAAAATAATATAGCAAGTGCAACAAAAATGTTAACTAGAGACCACACGTGTCCAACATGTTAATTTTACAGTAATTCTGGAAGTTTGAAGTTCTTTCAAAATAAATACTGAAAAGTACAATAAAATAACACAAAAATACCATAAAAAGAAGACGGTCATGGGAACAAAGCTATCCCTACTCTCCTAGACAGAGTTCTACCCCGGGGCCATTCTAATTCCTAGACAAATCATCAACTCTAACTACATCAATACAAAGAACGACTGATACTCTCTACCCCCGTAAAAAGCATGCATGGAAGCTAACGTACTTGAACAGAAACTCTGCAGCTTGTTCATTTGGATACCAGTCAGGAAGATTGAGCTTTACTCTGAAGCGTTCACCTAGATAATGAAGGACTTGTTTTTGTGTGGAACAACCCTCTTCTGCTACAATCCGTAACATCTGAGAGACTGAATTTCTGAAGAAAGAATCATCCTCTTTTCCTTTGATGAGCTCCTGAAAAATCTGATAATCGGAGAAGTTGACAAGTGCCTAGAATAGAAAAAAAATTTTTTAATTGCTTGTAATAACTATTCCACTTAACTCATTCAGTAACAATTCTCTCCTATTGTTCTTATACCTAAGACAAATTAGCAGAATTGAACTCTCCACAGTGAGGTACTGCCTGTGTGAGAGATAGCAAAAAACAGCCCTGGTGATTCTTGCCTCCTGAAATTCATAACTCTAGTTCACTCAGGCAATCAGTCAGGGTCTCGCCTGTGTACCAAGATACTACAGTGAAAAAGTTCATGTGTGGCTCTCCAGACTTGTTGCTTCCATTTCATCTAGGTTTGGCTGTGCCAAACCGCTCCCTGGGGGCAGACAGCTACCCTAAGCAGCACATGTGCAGAGGAGCTGAGATGTCCTGCCTGAAGCCCACACTGACTTGTTGGCCACTCATATGGTGCAGAGTCTACACTGGAAGTGGGTTCTCCAGCCCTGGTCAAGCCTTTTGAACAAATGCTGTGTTTACTGACTTCGGACACAAACCTCTTCTGAGCCAGAATAGCCAGGAGAGAAGAGAGAAATTTTAGTGATGTTTTTAAGGCACCGAGTTGTGCAGTAACTGTTGTGGAGCAGCAGATAATGAGGAAGCAGGAACTCTGATAAGAAGAACCTATTCATTCTGTGGCTTCCAATGAATCTTTTCACAATAAAATAAATATTCAATAAATCACACCTTAAGTGCAAATCCCAAAGGAAGGAAAAACAGTTCTTTCCGGTAAATGAAGTTCAACATAACTGTGCCATTTTCTAAATAGTGAAGATTCATGTTGACAGCAGAATGTTCTTCCTGCACACAGTGCATTGAAACTCCTATTTAAACAGAAAGTCAAAAATTCAATAATACTGTAACTGCTTAATCCTCTTTTTCCCCTGAATTAGTTTTACCCTTTTAGAAATAACGAGTCAAATCACTAAATTCAACCAATGCTGGATACCACATGTCTCTAGAACCTGCCAAATGCTCCCTAGAGTCTTCCTGGGTTAAAAACCCCTCAAAGTTCTAAAACTAAGAATTTAATGAAAATTCAAAGTTTTGCATCAGAGCAGGGTCCTTGTCCTTGTCTTCTAGAACTTTATATCCCCAGAATCCACAGAACTCTGCGCAAATGGAGAAAAGTAGAATTTTAGCTATCAAGCTAAAACATACTGTGTCAAGTGCTGCAAAAGAATAAATGACTGCACACATTGCCTTACTGCTATGATTATAGGTTATCATACATGTATGTGTGGTTATAGAGGCTGGTTGTTAGTTGCAATCTAAGAAGAAATTCTTCAGGGACCTCCCTGGTGCCACAAGTGGTTAAAGCTGCTCTTTAACTATGAAGTTCTCTGCAGCTGCTGCAGCAGGAGTTCAATCACTGGCCAGCGAGGTGCCCACATGGCACAGCAGATCTCTGCTGTCTCGCCCGCTGCTCCTCTCAGCAGTGTATTTTGGTCCATCTGCCTGTTCTACTCCCCATTTCACCTCTGGTGAATCCTCTCACCCCACATACCTCTATCCCAGTCCTTATATCCTTAAAAAATAAATCTTTAAAAGATAGAATAATATTATATTATTTAAAAAAAAAAAGAATAAATTCTTCAGCTGTCAGGATTACCCAAGAATGCAAAGTCCTCAAAGGCACTGTCAGAGACAATGTGATCCATCAGAGGCAGGTGGCTGTCAGCCAGACAGACCCTGGGGGGAATGGCACAGAAGCCTGTATGAAAAAACTTCTGAGGCCTACACTGATATCTGGCCAACTCAAACCAGTCTCCATCTTTATAAGCAATAACTTCTATACATGTTTCTTTCCACTTAAAAAAAATATATATAAAACTAGGCTTCCCACTTACGAAATTTAATACAGAAATGGTTATACTATTTAGGCACAGCTACTTTAAAAAAAAAATAGCCTACAAATTTTCCTACTATAACATCCCCAAAATCACTACAAGTTACCAAAGTGTGTATAGCCAGGGCCTCTGGTTTTCCATTTTGGTCGTATCATTGCAATGGGGAAATTCCTCCTAGGCATAATCAACATTCGGATGACTTTTTCAATGCCATTGATTATAAAATAGCCTCCCATTTCCTGCCAAAGAGACAAGTTATAACTTGTTAAACAAACATATAAACACAAAACTGACACAATGCAAGTCATCAACCTCATTCCCAGGCAGACACAGAGCAACATGTACAAGCGGAGCACACAGGCGAAAGGGATTGAGGAACTTGGAAACTACGTACACTAGCAGTGTGTGCCAAAGTCTTATCAAGAATATTAAAAGGTTCACAAATAACTCAAACTTTTTTTTAAATAATGTTTATTTTTACATCATTTTGTACTTTTTTTTATCTTAATTGTAATCCCCATCACCAAGTCACCCATGTGCCATCACCATAGTCCAGCGCACTTCCCCCTTCCCACCCACTGTTTTTGATCCCATTATCCCCTCCACTCCCATAAAATGCTCTAGTATATAACTGTTCATTATTATTATTATTATTTGCTCGCCTGCTATGAGCAAAACCATCTGGTATTTTTCTTTTTCTTTCTGGCTTATCTCACTAAGCATGATCTTTTCCAGCTCCATCCATGTTGCTGCAAAAGACATGTGTTTATTTTTTTGGTTGCTGAGTAATATCCTATTTTGTATATGTACCACATCTTTTTAATCCAGTCATCTATTTTTGGGCATTTGGGCTTCCTCCATGTCTTTCCAATTGTAAATAAAGCAGCAATAAACATGGGGGTGCAGGTATTTTTTTGAATCAGTGTTTTTGTGTCTTTTGGGTAGATAGATGCTTAGGAGTGGGATTGCTGGGTCGTATGGAAGCTCCATGTTAAGCAGTTTGAAGAACCTCCAAACAGCAAGTAACTCAAATTTTTAACTGTGTATGGACACCAGAAATTCAGATTAGTAAATGGGAAAATAACAGCGTTGGTCAGTATTACTTTTCTGTGGAAAATATAAGCATTGCCTCCCAGGAAGCAGGTGTATGATGCTGGACACTCAACATTATTCTAACATTTAACTCTTGTGACAATGCATGGGAGAGCTATTGTACTCATTTTCAGCAGAGGAAGCTGCTCAAGGAGATTAAACTTCCCAAAGTCACACAATGGTCAGTGGAGCAGCTAGGTCGTCAAACCCAGACCTGCCTTCAGAACCCTCTTCTGCCACACAACACAAACTCCCTGCTGCAAGTAGAATCTGTACGTCTTGATCAGCTCAACTCCAAAGTGCAAAGCCACCAACGCAGCTGCAAGAACTGCTGAAGGGAAGATGGGGAGTCATGGAATACGCTCGTAGAATCATACTCTGGCAAGGCAATTTTAGACAATAGCTTTTTGTAGACTAAGTTAGCTAAAAAAAAAAAAATTACTTTCTATATATGTATTATTCAGAAAATTAGGGGGAAAATTTATCAATTCTTCCCCTGCAATAATGTCCTTAATTTTAAGGCCACTTTTTCATAACAGTATCATCTGAGACTCATTCTAGGCTCTACACAGTATGCAGCCAGGATTATTATGTCCCACTTTACCTATCTAGAAAGCGAAGCAGAGAAAGAGACACTGACTTCCACTGTCAAGCTTCCAGTCTTCTCTATTGTCACCTGGCCCTTTAGTGCACTAGACCCTGAAATTACCTCTGCTTCCTCATGATGCTTAATGAGGGCTTTAGGAGGAAGGTTGTATAAGTTGCAGAGCTTGGACTTCACCATGATGGGGACATAGCCAAGAAATTGTTTAATGACTCCTTTTGTGATTCCATTCACTGCCCAGCTGATATCAGCCTAAGTGAAAATAAGAGGGAAAAAGTTACTTAAAAAAGAAAAAATCTGGGCCCTCCCTGGTGGCGCAGCAGATTAAAGCACAGCACTAAGAAGCTAAAGCCACATTCACATGAGTTCGATCCCCGCCTGCCCTGGGATCCCCGCCTGCCCCGGAGGAGATCCACATGGCAAGGCAGACCTCAACTGACCGCCCGCTGTTCCCCTCAGCAGTATACTTCGTCCATCTGCCTGTTCTGCCCCCCACTCTGTCTCTGGTGAATCCTCTCACCCTCCACATCTTTGGCCTGTACCCCGGTTCCATATAAATAAATAAATAAATCTTTAAAAAAAAAAAAAAAGAAAGAAAGAAAAAATCTGAATCCATGAGAAAAAAATGAATATTTTTGAAAAAGCAAGGAAGACCATAAAGGAAATGATACTGTGTTTTAGATTTAAAAGATAGGCTATCCTAGATGATGGTACTAACAAAACAGACAGCAAGCTTTATGAGGCACCAGCCTTATTCTAAAAAATGTAAAATGTGAAAGTCACATTCTGTCACTTGTACTCACTGTCAACTTTCCCCTGTAGGTGCTCCTTCGGCCCCGGCATTCTGCTGGGTAGACATTGAGCTCTTTGCAGATGCTCCCCTTGGGAACTGTGGGGGGACTGATGACAGCATCCACAATAGTAAGGGAGATGCGTTCATCTTTGAAAGCAAATTCGAAGGGAGGTATAGCCTGAAATACAAATGACACTATTAACTGTTTACATTCCAAGGCATGTTTTCTCTAATACCCTTCCAAATCTCGTGTTATACAAATGTTGATACCTGTAATGCCAAAGTGACATATATTTAAAATGACAGTTAAAGCCAGATCTGGTCTAGTCATACTTTCACCAAGTCAGTCTTTGGTCATGATATTTTGTTATATGATCAGTAGGTAACTTTTATGTGTTTCTACATAAGGACATTTTGCTTAATAAATATTGTTGAGTCTTTAATATTGAACTCATAGCCAATTGCACCTAAATCATGACTAAAGAAAGTTATCCACCACACGTTTCTCTGTGAGGCACATCATAACCTTCCTGTGCTTAGGAATATTAGATAGCATTTCACCTGGTAAGGGCCCTGATAAAGAACAAAATCACCAACAAAAAGCTCAAGAATGCAAAAAACTGAACAGACTTCAAAGAGGACACTTTAATTTAGAGTACAAGAAATATGAAAGCAGAATATTGCCTTACAGGATTTTACGCACCAGGAAACAAGTTTTTCACTGAACTGTCCATGTTGGTGAGGGCTGATATGGAGGTTATAAATAAATTTTACAGAGTGGGTAACTCACAAACATAGAATTCCTAATAGTGAGAATCAATTATATTCTGAAGAGATGACATGATGGACATACTGATCTGAACACACAGAATGGAGGAATCTACTCGAAAGAAACCAGGCAAAACTATTAATAAACAAAAATATACAAAGGCTATTTCTCCCTTGGATCTATAAAGTGTAGTCATTTATGTTACTATGTTATGGAACAGCAATTTCAAACAATATTATAATACCAACTAAGTTCAGTAGTATTATCTGTGCCAAACCAGATTTTCTTCATGACTTTCAACCAGAATGTGTCTCAAGAGATTGAATACTGAAACAGATACAAGAACTCAGCTGTCTTATAATAAGCCAGACATTTAAAAGATATGAAAGTGTCACCATACAAATATTTACATATAACTGAATTTAGTTTTTCAGTTTTAATTTCTACTAGAATAAAGGCTGATAAATAAAAATATACGCGATACTTAAGAATTAAGAGTGGTAAAGGTGCCCAGGGCCAAAAATTCTAAAACTATGCCTATATCCAAAAAGTATGGATGATACTCCTTCACAAAAATTATTGTGTACATGTTTTCCTTTTTTATTTTAGATCACCTCAATCCTAGGTTCTTTTTGTTTGTTTGTTTTAATAATCCCTAGTGCGAAGTAACTACTACTAAGATCTAATTTTTCCCAAAGACATGATACCAAAAAAACTCAGTCAGGTTACAAATAATCCCCACCACTGGTGTTTTGCAAAAATGATGAGGGAGTATTAATTTTCAATGACACCTTAACAGCTCCCATAATACTTGCACAACAGAGTTCAAGCACCAGAAACTGGCAGAACTCTCCACATATCTCTATCCCTTGCCCTCATAACACACATCCTACCCTACAAAACCAAAGGCAGTAGTATCCCCTTCACTCTTGTCCACAATTCATCTAATCCTGTTGCCCCAAACACCTGGATTTGGCTGTATTTCCTCTGTGCTCCTCAAGTAGGTACCCAGTGCTTGGCCGGGAATTCTCAAGAGTACTGTCTTGCTTTGTATCTCCACCACTCTAGTCCAAAACATGATGCCCAGTTCTGAAAAGCAGAGAATTCTATAGTCTCTTCTACTACTTTCTCTCAGTCGCATGCCTGGAGGCACGGGCAATGCTTATTAAATAAATGAGACCTTCCCCATCACCTTCACTTGAATCCTTCATTACCATTACTCTCTGTGCCAACCACTTAATGTTGACAAACGTTACCCAATAGTGCCATTATACTTTCCTACTGAATCTAGCTTTTATGTCTCATTTATTTCTCTCTCAACGGCTACCTAATTCAGGAGAGGTGCCCATTACCTTTTCATTTCAAAACTCTTGGAGAAGGGGTTAAAACTGCGAAGGAGGACCTTACACATTGGTGTATCTACAAATAAGCTCAGAATCTTCTGAGTTAAGTTTTAGACAGGTAAGTCTTCATGCTATAAATGCGTGTGCGTTAAAATGCACATTTCACACGGGCCACTCCTGACTTTAACAGCACACACAATCCGACCTTCAAACATGACGTTTCCCAAGCATATAAATTCAGAAACTCCGAATACATCTATCTAGCTGACTCGACTACAAGTGACATGGGGCCACATCTTGCGCTGTCTAGCAAGATCAAATGGTGTAACTTTGGGGGTTATAGTGCGACCTCCAGCTTTCTCTCCCGATCCACGCCGCGTGTCTGACGCCAAGGTCCAAGTTCCACCTCCACCTACCGCAACCCCCCGTTTCCTGAATCTCCCCCACTCCAACCAGGAGCCGAATCCCATTAATCTCTCTACTTTCTCACCCTCTCCCAAGGCCCGCATCCCTTCCAAGGCTCCCTTCTCCGCCCCTCCGGACCCCTCTCCTCTCTCCAGTACCCCTCGGGTTTCGCTACGGGAGGGTCGTCTCACTGGTCTACAGGGGCCGGCAAACGCAAAGATGCAGAGTGTCAGGGAGAAAGCCGCACTCACCTGCACCGCGTGACTGAGTCCCTCGCGCACCGCGTAGTTGAAGGACTCGACATGCGCCCGCGTCAGCTCCTGCAGCGCCGGTTTTTGCTGTTCCCGTGGGATCCCGTAAGAGGGATCGGTCAAGTGCTTTAGGCTAGGCCCGCTGGGCAGGTTCCGCCACCGGCCGCAGGAATCCATGCGGTCGCCTGCACCCTGAACCCCAGCAACCACTACACACGCGCCGGGAAGAAAGGCAGAAGACCCCGCGTCCGCGGCCTGCTGGGAAATGTAGTTCTCCTTGTTACCCCGCCCTTGGTCCTTCCATTTTATAGGGCCGACTTGGAACCAAAACCACGGAGTGAAGGAGCCGGTTAAACCCTGCGGAGCCGGAGCGTGACCCGCCCTTTCCGGTCCTCTCTTTGCTGAGCTGACAGCTCCAGCGAGACGCGGGAACTTGACCCACTCTTGCTCCACGTCCTATTCGGGTTCTGAACTCATTGGCTCTAGATTTGAGGGAGGTGATCTTCAAAAAATTCTCTTTAATCCTGGGAAGCCCACGGGGATTACAATTGAGATGAAAAAAAGGCACAAAATAATGTAAAAGTAAACTATTATATTATTTTAAAAATTCCCTTTAATTCTTTGGACGGTTGTGGGATACAAGGCTGATGGGACTCTGGGGAGACACCCCTTTTTTTAAAATTAAGGTCTTAAAAATATATAGTAGCTTATTTTTACATCATTTTGTGCCTTTTTCCATCTCAGTAGTAATTCCCCTTGGTTTCCCATCACCAAGCCACTTGGGTGCCATCACCATAGGCCAGTGCACTTCCCCCCCCACCCCCTCATTTTTGATCACTTCCCTATTCCACCCAGTAAAATGTCTCTGGTATATTGTTGTTCATTATTATTATTCTCCCCACCCCCTTCCTTTATCCTCTGCTATGAGTGAAATCATCCAGTATTTTTCTTTTTCTTTCTGGCTTATTTCACTAAGCATGATCCCTTTCAGCTCCATCCATGTTGCTGCAGAAGGCATGAGTTTATTTATTTGATTGCTGAGTAATATTCCATTGTATATATGTACCACATCTTTTTAATCCAGTCATCTACTTTTGGGCATTTGGGTTGATTCCTTGTCCTTCCAATTGTAAATAAGGCAACAATAAGCATGGAGGAGAGACCCCTGGTTTTAAGGAAAAGGCAGATGTTGTTGCATGCCTTTCTGTGCACTCTACTCATCTCTTTTGTTGTTACATTTTCATTTTTTAATGGTAGTTTTTTTTTTTTTTTTTACTGAAGTAACAGTTGACTTGCAATACTGTGTAATTTAGAGGCAGAGGTACACACCCTTTCAGATGTATGTTACCACACCCATGGCCAAAGCACCCCTAATGCTCTGTAATCCATTGGGCCCCCTACTGCCTTGGCTCACTACCTCCTCACCTCCCCCCCCACCCCTTTCTCGATGCCTAAATTCTGGCCTCAAATTTCTATTTACCCAACTCTTAAATCCTGAAGGCTTATTACTGAGATTACCAAGAAGTGGTCTACCTTAGCTTTTCCTATCCCCGTCTTCTGGGGAGCTGGGGCAGATGGCAGGTGCCCAAGGCCTTACCCCTAAGAAAGACTTTGAATCTCTATGAATCCTGTAACTCTTAATCTCCCCAGAATGGGGATTTATTAGGGAATGCCTGCAGGTGTCTTTAAGAGTCATTTTTTGTGTATATGTGTATTCAACACTTGTAACCTATGTTGCAATATAGCTGACATAGTTTTAATTTGTATTTCTCTAATGACTTGTGAAAGCATCTTTTCATGTTTATAAGCTTTTTCTATTTTCTTGGAAAAATGTTTAGACACTTTGCCCATCCTAAAATTGGGTTGTCGTTTTGCTGAATTGCAATAGTTCTTTAAATATTCTAGTTCTCATCTGATACACGATTTCCAAATGTTTTCTTTCATTTTACGGATTTTTACTTCTTTGATGATGTCCTTCGAAGCACAAGTTTTTGGTGGTGATGAAGTCTAGTTTATTTTTTTTTCTTTTGTTGCTAATGCTTTTGCTGTATCTAAGAAATCACTGCCTAATCTAAGATAAATAAAATTTACACCTAGATATTTTTTTCAAGTTTTTCACAGTGACAACATGGTAACCAATAAGGTTCATCTGAGGTACAGTGATTGCTAATTAAAAAAAAAGATTTACATTTTAAAAAATTATATTACATTTGTTTTCTTCTAAGAGTTTTTAAATTTTAGCTGTTCCATGTAACGCTTTGATCAATTTTGAGTTAATCTTGTACATAGTATGAGAGTGGCATCCAACTTTATTCCTTTGCATATGTGGATATAACCTAGGGATGTTTGCTGAAAAACACTATTCCTTTTCCCATTAAATTGTCTTAGCTTCTTGTCAAAATCAACTTACTGTGGATGTGAGGGTTTATTTCTGAGTGTGCAATTCTATTTCCTTGATCTGTACGTTTATCCTTATACTAGTACAACATAGACTTAGTTAATACAGCTTTGTAATAAATTTTGAAGCCTTCAACTTTGTTCTCTTTCCAGATTGTTTTGACTACTTCTGGTCCTTTGTTATTTCCATATAAATTTTAGTGATATCTTGTACATTTCTACAAAAAAGGCAGCTAAGATTTTTCATAGGGATGGTCTTCCACCTGTACATGCAGGTAGGTCTGTTTTCATTTTTCAAGTAATTACCTTCCACTTCATGAGTCATATTTCTGTTTATTTAGGTGTTCTTTAATGTCTTTCAAAGATGTTTGTTAGATTTGGTGTACAATGAACTTGTTATTAAATTTATTCCTGAAAATTAAATCTTTTCTTAAAAGTAAATCTTTTTGATAATGACAAACTTGTTTCTTTAATTTTCAAAATTTTAAGTTTTACTTTTAGAAATACAATGGAGGCCCTCCCTGGTGGCGCAGCGGGTTAAAGCACTGCACTAAGAAGCTTAAGCCACTTCCGCATGAGTTCGATTCCCGCCTGCCCCGGAGGTGACCACATGGCGTGGCAGACCTCTCCTGACCCGCTCGCTGTGTACTTCGTTGATCTGCCTGTTCTGTTCCTCACTCTGTCTCTGGTGAATTCTCTAACCCTCGGCATCTCTGGCCTGTACCCCAGTTCTGTATGAATAAATAAATAAATCTTTAAAAAAAAGAAATACAATGGAATTTTACAGGTTGATCTTACCTGGCAACCTTGTGAACTCATTAGATCTGCCCTCAAGATTTTCAGTATATGAGATCTTGTCACCTTCCCAACATAGATGCCCTTCCTTCCTCCCTTCTTCCCTCTCTCCCTCCCCCACTCCCTCCCTTACTAGAAATTGTACCAAATATTAAAAAGAAAGCTTTTAGACTTTTTTACTTGTGATATAGGCTATGGTTTTTCCAAAGATGCTCTTTATCGAATTGAAGAAGTTCCCCACCTCCTGTTTATTCCTAGGCTGTTTTCTTCTTTTCCTTTTTTTTTTATTGTTTTCACAAAGTCTTGTATTTCTCATGCTTTCCTTATGTATATTGATGTGATTGTGTGGTTTCTGTCCTTTATTCTATAAAAATGATTACATTGATTAGTTTTGTATTGTAAACATTGTACTCTTAGGATAAATCCTATTTTGACCCTGGTTTGTAATTGTTTTTATATATTCTCTGGTTGCTATTAAATTTCGATTTTTTTCATCTATATTCCCAAGAAGTATTGGTATGTTGCTTGCTTTTACCTTTGTCTGATTTTCAGAGTATTAATGGTTTAATCACAGAATGAGTTGACAAGTGTTCCCTCTTGTTTTTTGAAGAAACTGACAAGGGTTGGTGTTTTTAGTTGTAGGGTTGTAGTTTTCAATGCCAAATTTCCTCTTGGCTCTATTTTTTTTTTAATTAAAAAATTACTATTATATTTCTTATTTTTTTTGTACATCATTCTTAATTTTGTGCACCTTTTCACCTCAATTGTAATCCCCATGGGCTTCCCACCACCAATTTACCCGTGTGCCATCACCACAGTCCAGTGCACTCTTCCCACCCCAGTGGTTCTATTTTTAAAATAATTTTTAACTGTTAATTGATGTTTTCTCTCCGGTAACATCACTCTTTCAGCTCCTTAAACATACTTTAACTAAGTTAAAGTCTTGTACAGTAAGCCCGATGCCTGGACTTCCTCAAGAAGTCACTCCTGACCCCCCTTTCCTTTCATGGGCCGTATTTTCTTCTTTTCCTTTGCAGTGTTTGAAAATTGAAAATTTTTAATGGGTCAACTTTGGAAGTGAAATAGTCTCATCTCTGGTTTTTTGTTGTTGTTGCTATTTTCTTAGTCCCTTTCCAGAACTGATGCTGTGAAACCTGTATTCTCTGTTGTATGGCCACTGGAGTTTCCACCGTTAGCAGTGGTGAACTGATGAATGACCAGAGATTTCTTTAATTGCCTAGAACCTGTAAGTCTCCCAGTCTCTGCTAAGGAGCTGTGTGTGTGTGATGCAGTCTTAGGCGATTTATATAACTCTGCTGTGTTCACTTCCCGCTGATGCAGCTCATTCTCATCAGACAGAGGTGAACGTTGAAGAAATTCACGTCTTCCTTGGGGCATGCACACAGCCTGTACTTGTATTGTCCTTCTAGTGTTAGGAATATATCAAAGCTTTTCGAAACCTCTCTGGTAACCTCAGTTCCCATCTTTTCTTTCTAAGTGTCTTGGTCAGCTGGAGTTTGCTCCAACTGGAAGTTGAGATACTAACGGCTGCTAATTATTTCTGACAAATAGTTTGGGGGAAAGGCTGTTTCCACTCTGAGACACATCAAACAAGGCAAGCCCTAGATGGGAACTGACATGGGTCTGCCAGGTCCAGTAAACACAGATCACTGGGAATGGAGCACTGGAGGAACGCTCTATGTACCTTCTAGTAGCTGTGCTGCTGCTGAATCTTACCATGATTGTGGGGTTCTTGTGGAGCTCAGGAAGGGTGGATAAAAACAGGGCAAGTTTCTTGGCCTTTTGGCTAAGATCAAATGCAAAAATGGGGCAAGTTAAAATGTCACAAAACTTGTTATTACTGCAACCATTTTTCTTTAATTCTTATGTCCTGGACTGTTCAAGTCTATGGATAACTTCCAGTTTTTGCCAGCCATTTCATTGCTTTTATGAAGGAAAGTGTTTTCAAAAGTTCTTAATGTGTTATTCCCACGCATGATCTTTCATGTGGGTTTTGGAAAGAAATTCTGCTTGCAAAAATCTTCAAGTTGCACCACCAAGTATTCCATGGGACAGGGGTTTATTTTCCTTTGCCTTTATGGATGTTTTGGCAAAACCACTTTAAAGTATTACGGGACCCCTGGGGCCATGAGAGAACTTCAGGGGCAGTTACTGACAGCAAAGTGAACCAGACTCTAAGGGAAGAACTGCAAGGGCTTTGAGCAGGTCCACTCTCAGAATCCTAGGGTCCAAGTCTGCTCATCCCCATTTACCACCCGTGCAACTCCACTGAGTTTGGTGGGCATCAGGAACTTGGAGTGTGGTGCCTAAGCTAGTGTTTCTGGCATGGCAGGCCATTTCTCTGTGCCCAAAACATATGTTTCAAGGGGTGAAACCAGCCATGAAAAGCAGGCCATCCATCCATGGGAAAGGAGTTCAAAGGACTCAGCCTTATCACAGAAGTTAAAGTTAATTACAGTTTACACAGATCCTACAAGGACTTCTCTGAGACCAAGCGCCAAGGACTTCTTGGATCTGGTTAATTGTGGAAGTAGCCTCATTTTAGAAGCCCCTCCACACCCACCTCATGTTTAAAAGACAAATAAACCTCCTGCAAAATCATGGGTCTCAGCTCATAATTTGCATTCTGATTTAGACAACACACAGGAGAGATGACGGACTAGATTGTGGGAGCTGAAATTGTTTTGGTACTTGACCCATGTCATCACAGTGTTGAAAGGCAATTTGGCTTAAATATTGTGCCACTAGCTGGGTTAGCAAGTGATGGCAACATCTTGTTTTCTTATGGTCTAAAGGCTCAGAATGGTTTTTGCATTCTTTCATTCTTTGGGGGGTAAATAGAGGATATGCAACAGAGAGCCTCTATGGCTTACCAAATCTAAATATTTGCTATCTGACCCTTAACAGAAAAACTCTACCTGCCTCCACTTAAATGGATTCGAATAACCCATTCTAGAACAGACACCACCTACGTTAAGATAGAACCAAGCCCTCCCTGGTGGCACAGTGGCTAAAGCGCAGCACTGCAAGCCAGCTGCAGCTGCTTCAGTGCAAGCTCGATCCCCAGCCTCGGAGCTGACCCCCATGGCACAGCAGATCTCTCCTGTCTCACCCAGCCCACTGCTCCCCTCAGCCGTGTACTTTGTCAATCTGCTTTTTTTACTTCCCACTCTGTCTTTGGTGAATCCTCTCATTGGCCCTGTACCTCTGGCCCGTACCCCACTTGTATATGGATAAAAAAAAAAAAAAGATAGAACCAAAGGGCACGAAAACACTTGAAATATCATTACTTTACTTTAATGCTCCAGGCATTTTAGACATTCATTAAGTCACCTTATTTCAGAAGTCATTTCCTCTTAGGTACAGATTCAGTGTCCGCAGTCAGGGACAAGTGTATCACTGAACTTTCCCTATAACTCCCACATGCTACAGGGGACCTGTGCTGGCACCCTGTCTTCTCTAGCAGAGCCCCCCCACCCCACAGTGGGGCTGCACCACCCCTGCTTGACACAGCTTGAAATGTTCCTGTAGCTCACTGCTGCCTGTGGGTTCTGTAGACTTGCACATTTCAGCACTGCCAGATAGTCCAAGTCTGTGATGATCACCCCGAGGCGCCAGTGAGACAGCACATCAGCACCTGCTCCACTGTATCACAGACACTGAGGCACTTCCATGTCCTGGTAAAAGAGTTATAATTACCACAGGAATGAACTGTGAGGGAGGGGGCTTTTCTCTCAATAATTAGTAACCTTAACAGATATTTAGCGGATTTATAAATTCATGTCTGTTTACATTTGTTGTAAAGGCGGCATGAACTGCTGAAGTACATGAGGGCATGTTGTAGTTCCCATGCTGCGAGGAAAAGCAAAGAACCTGCTTAGACAACACTGGCTTGAGTCATGAATACTGCAACAGCTGGTCATTCTTAAGGGCCCTGTCCTTCCAGAAGGGGTTTTTTAAAGCCCCAGGCTTGGACTCTTTCAAGGTAATAATATTTGTTGTTCTTTCTTAGGCAGCAGTTCCCAGCATCTTGAAGCCTGCTTCAGGTCTGAGGTTTATTTCACTGGTCAGGGGTGGGGTGGAAGAAAGGGAATGTGTGGACTCCAACATTTTTAAAAAGTAATTCCAGCATATAGCCAGCACAGAGAACCTTGGGTACTAAAGGTTCCTGAGTCTCACTAATCTCCTCTGTCCTCTCTCAAAGTCCTTGAGGTAGTCCCTGGGTCAAGCAATACTCTCTTCCATGAGATAAGAAACTAAGGCACAGAGAGGTTAACAGTTTCCTCTGACACTGTGCAGCCATCTGACAGCACCAGGATTGAAATGGGCATCTCCCAAAATAACATCTCCTCCTCCAGCACTAGCAACATGTACATGGACTATACCTGTGAAGACTGACTGGGGAGCAAGGTGTGACCATCTGTGCCAAGGCATCATGGAAGGATGTGGAACAGTTCCAAGCTAACCATTTCACCAAAAGGGGAATAAATGCCTAAATATTTATTTGAGGGGGAATAAAGTACACCTTTTTTTTTTTTAAGGACTAATTACTTGCACATATATGCTATATTCGTCCAGGTTTCTTAGAAGATACACCAAGACCCACAGACTTCCTGTTTAATTGCTAACATTTACTCCTTACCTCCATCACTGCAAGAACTGGAAAACCCTCAAATGTCCCTGCAATGTAGATCCAAAAGAGCACTACACATCTGCATTTGCACGTAACCATACAACCTTCCCCATCTGTGCTTCCCATCTCCTGCCACTCTGCCTGCCTGGGACCCAGTACTCTCTCCTGGGTCTTCACCTTCCCAAGATTTGCTTAGACGTCCCAAACACTAACCCCTCGGCTGCACTGGGCCTACAGGATGACTTTTACCACTGACTGTTATATTGCTCTGGATGGAGACTTCACTATTCACACACTGGACAGCTAGCAAGGCTTTGTAAAAGACAGTGGCCTGCATCTCACCTCGCTGAACCTTTCTCCATTTCACAACATAACACCTTTGCATTCCACACCACTGCTGCGTCTGTGGAATAGTTGTATCACGATTCCCTTCTCTACTGTCAGCTCCCACATCTCCTCGTGAGTGAGGAAGCATAGCCATAACCTTTTAAAAAAGTCTCCCCACCTGCAGAACTGAAACAAGCAACGAAACACACGCAGGGACCAAAGGAGAAGCACGAGGAAAGTGCTTCTCCACACTGCTGTGGTTCCCAGCACACTCTAAGAATGGGTGATGTCATCTTTGCCTGCAGCAGTGCCACCTGGGAGTGGGGGGGCTCTACCCTCTCCTGCCACTGCAAGAGGGTGTCACAAAACTTAAAAAAAAAAAACGAAGACTGGCCCTCCCTGGTGGCACAGCGGGTTAAAGCACAGCACTGAGAAGCTAAAGCCACTGCAGCATGAGTTCGATTCCCGCCTGCCCCGGAGGAGACCACATGG